AAGGCTGTGCTGGCCCAACATCGCGGGGTGGCCCGGTCAAACAACTGGCGGGTGCGTGAAGTCACCCGCCTGTTGTCACCATTGTCCGAGTAGGGCCATCGGCATGCTGGGGCTTTGATCGCCCGCGGGTGTGCGTCACTTCTGCTCCGGCGTGGCTGATTTCTCGTGTCTGTCCGTACCGGTACAGGGTAGGGAAAAGGGGGGGGAGCCAGCTGCACTCGACCTGAGAAAAATAAAGAAAAGCGAGGTTGCGTCAGTCTTCCGTCCGCCACGAAAATAACGTACATCAACAGAAAAATGATTTGTTGTTGTTTTCTTGTTGCTGCGTACGGAATTTCTCACAAATTGCAACACTAACGGGTTCGATTTTAAGAGAAGCCAGTGAATTTACATAGCTCGTAAGAGAGAGAGGGAGAGGGACAGGAACGCCTTCCCCAAACTTAACTTAGAAAAACACTTAACTTTTGTACACTGGCTGCACGCCGGCTGCACGTAGCGAGCGCGGGGTCTCCAACAGCGCCAGACCGAACGCGGACGTTGTCCACGGACCGAGCAGGCTGGGAGGGCGGCGACGTCAGCTTCAGGGGGCTTGGTCGCCAGGGGCCGAAGGGCTGTTGGCGACGTGAGTCGCGTCGATGATCAGGGACGTCTTCGGCGTTGTCAGGGCCGGGGTCGTCGAGGAGGAGGCCGTCGCTGATGTCAACGGCGAGGCGCGTGGAGAGGCGCCGAGGATAATACCGGGCAAAACCGATAAATAGGCTTCGGTCTCGCGGTGGAGACTGACCCGCAGCGCGCACCGTGTAGAGATGGCGCCGATCTATGTAAGTGCTGCCAGGGGCAGTCCAGCAGTCTTCACTTACTTGATTGTCGTGTTTGAATACGACAGAAGTCAGAAGCTAGTATGCAGCATCCTGTCGTACGTCTTCAGTGGATTCGGGAAGGTTGGCGCAGCAGTGTTGCCTACTTGAAGGGGGAGTGTAGTCCGCAGAAACTTGGGGTCGGCACTGCACATAGCGACCTGCGACACCGACAGAGGCTGGGCGTGCACTCCCATGCCAACTGGTGATGGGCACAGGTACTGTTGCAGTTGACGAGGCCTCGTGTAGATTTTCTTGATTTCTTGGAAGTATTCAATCTTGGACGATGATAAATGATAATACGATAATAAAAACATACACAATCAAAGCGCTTGGTAGGATATCTTGGCCATTGAAAGGGATCACTCGCGCAGAGCCGAGTAATATGATTGCCGTAGTTCGCCATATTTTGTTCGTAAAACAGAATTGGTTTATGAACAAAAGCGAATAAGATTCCTTTTTCTAGAATGCGCTTGGGGCTTCTTGGCGTGATTACCTAAGCGTGAGCCAGGTAATATAATTGCCTTTCTACGTCGAATCTAGATTCATAATGGATTATGACGAAAATCAAATTCTTTTTCAAATCAAACGAGCAGCAATAAATGATGTCTTCAAAATTGAATGACCGGGGGCATAGGAAACTCGATACAAAATTCCACTTGCCAGGTGAATAAATATAGAGTTTTGAGCACGTCCGTTGTCATTATGAGAGCATAGCTGCTAATTACAATTGTGCAATAACTGAGACACATCGGGAAGGTCCCGACGGTCGTCACAAAAGTAATGCCGAAAAATTGAATACAAGCCAAAGACTCACGATACTGGCTGTCCGTAGGCAGATGAATTCGAGAAGCAGTAAGAGGGGCTTGCAGTGGCGCCTCTGGAATAAGTTGAGTAGACGGGTGCTGGTGGGGGCGGTCAGTCGCGTAGACGATCGAGTGGCCACCTGGGGCAGCGGCCCCCGTTGCTCTTGAATATCTTGCAGTTGTGCGGACATCCCCGAATAGAGCGTAGTGATGAGTTGCAGTAGGATAGTCAAAAACGTACACCGCATGATAAATTTGCAGTGTTCTTCTGGTTGCCTAGGTTGAACCGCTGCGACTATAGTTGTCCCGCGACATGATGCGGGGCTAGGAGCGGCGGGGTGGGGCGGCGCGGGGCCCCGGCGGCTTGCATCATCTTGGGGGGACGCTGCACTGGCGCGCAGCAGGGGGCTGCAGCGCGTGGCGTGGCGAGGCGTGGCGGGGTGGCCGGCCGGAGATGGACAAAAGCCTCTTGAATGGAGTGGGCTGCGGCGGCGGCCAGGGGGGCAACAGTAGCCGAATGGACTGCACTGACTGTCGGCGGGGCGAGGCGGCGGTCCGCTGCAGCGAGCCACACGCAGGGCGCGAGCAGAGTACCCGCCCGGAGGCCATGCAGGTCGGAGGCGTCCCCGTGGAGGACGGCGATGACCAGGACACCGACGGCAGTAGACAGGCCTGCTGTCGGCTGGGCATGGCGGTGCCGCGTTGGGCGCACGCTGGGCACGAGCACGGTGACCGCGGAGAGGCCCCGCTGGGCCGCGGCGTCCCGGACGGCGGTGACTAGGAGACCGTCGGGAGCGACTGGGGTTGCTGCCAACGGCAAGGCGTGGCGGCAGCGGAAGCCAGACCAAGGCGCCACCCTTGGCGATGCTCCGCGGCGCGGCGCGACGGCGTCCCGGACGACGACGACGAGCACACACCCGTGCTTGGCGTGCCGCACCGTAAGATGCGGTACGCGAGTCGCGTTGTACACCAAAGTACGCGATGTCGTATTTGTTTAAGTCACTTGTCAGCATATTAACTGAGTCCATTTTCGTTCGTTTCGTATTTACAAGTTCACGCATCGTAGGTCGAGTCAACCTAATTTCACACCTCGTCGTCCCATAATCTTCACGACTGTGGAATGCGACAATAGTGGGAGGGGGGGCGGACCGGTTGCAGTCAAAGGGCATCGCGAGGGGGGCCGGGGTCTCGCGCAGAGGGGGAGGGGGGAAGGAGGGCGCGGCGGCGCGCAGACGCGCACCTGGGCGACACGTCGCCTTTGTTGCAATGGTCTGAATGAGAGAGGGTGGCGGCGGCGAGACGCGGAGGGCCAGAGAATTGCCTCGATAAACACAACTCTTGACTTGCCCAGAGAGGCAGTGCGCAGTGATCTGCCTATGCGGCCGATACACCGCACAGCCGGTGGTGAAGGTGGAGGCCGGGGGCAGGACAGGGCGAGCCGGGGACGGTTGGTCAAAAGACACCCGCTTCTGAACGCAGGGGGTGGGTAGGGGGGCGGGGGAGAGGGGTTGAGGGGAGCGCGGCGGCCTCGCAAAACGCGACGACACGTCATAACGCAGGGAAGCTGCGACCGAACCGGGCGGCTGCTGAATCGGATGGAAGCCAAGAAGGAAATTCTTGGATTTGTTATTTACAACTTGCTTGAGGTAGATCGTGTTCATCGGTTTTTGGACAGAGTAATACAGAATTCCTATAGGAGTGTGAATGACTATGTTGAACGAGTAACAACGACTCAAGGCTAAAATTTCACGTGTCGTTGGCGGACACGTTGGGTTCAACATAGAGCGCCGATAAGATCGGACCATCCTGCAGGACGAAAAATAATCTGTCCAGTTCCGGCAAACATAATTTACAACAACGCGTCTGATCGCCGTGCCATGTTGAGGGGCTGCAAAATGAGCGAACGCTACCGAAACGAACATGACGTTATTGTTTAGAGATAGGTCGAAAGTGACGATGGAATGATAGCAATAATTGGTCCTACTCGAGAACGAGTGAGTACCAGTCCGCGAACGGACTATGCCGGTGCCGGCGGCACGACCTAGTTTTTTGACTGATACATGTCAGGGCTATCATTCTCAGCATAACTTTCGTCAGCACTCTCCTTTTCATATTCATACTCATGATAACTTCCTTCACTACTTCCTTCACTATTTTCATCACCATCGTCATCATACTCTTCATCACAATCTTCATCACCATCTTCATCACCATCTTCATCACCATCTTCCCAACCGTCACTGTCACCGGCATAATCGGGTTCGTCAACATACTGACTCCCGCACGCACTAGGCCTGGATAAATAAGATGTTACAGTTTTTAACATCTTTGCCAGGGCCTGTCGCATTTCAACAGGGAGAGGCGAGGCCGTGGCCGGTCCACGGGATCCACCTGGTGGGGCAGAGCCCGAGGGGGCCACGTCCTTTGTTGGGTCCGAGCCGCAATGTGACAGTGCAGACACATTGTAATTTGTGTCTGGGGTTGCCGCCACAAGGGGGGCGGCCTCTGGCGGGCCGGTCAATAGGGAAGACATTTGATGCAGCAGCGCGAGCATCTCGCGCACCGCTGCGGAGTGCGCTGCAGGCTGCACCGCGGGGGTGGGGGA